TATACTTTTAAAAACAAATGTTTAAGGTAGCTTTCTACTCAGCTCTCTCCCCCCTTATGCAACAGTAATATTGCATACACAGAGAAATGCCTGCATACCTGCTTCAAAAATTTATGATTTTAAAGTTGTCTATATGTTTCCAGCCCTTCCTTTATGGAATCATGAAGGATTATGCCAACTTCTTTGTCAACTTCTCTCAACCTGCCTTTCTCCCCAAAGCTACCTAAAGTAAAAATTCCTGTCTATGGTAAGGAATGGCAATCAGAAGAACTGATGCTTTCTGCAGAATTGCTGACAAAAACAAATAACCATCAAGTGATTGCTTTAACATAGCACAGAGAGAGATAGCAATGATATGTGATGGACTTTGAATGATTCAGCTAAGAAAAAATACTTAGGGTTTTTTCTGAGAAGGAAATGTACATAAACAAATTAACTTGTATGTGGATTTGATTTCATTTATTCTATTATATAGCATGCTGTGACAGATTGGCATGATGTTTCTAAATATGACCTTTTAATTTTCTTTAAAAAAGCATATGCTCTTTGAGCAGAAAACTGGCCAAGTCCAAAGTATTATATACTCTGCCTGTGTCATCAGCTGAATTCTAGGGTACAAGATTCAAGGTCTTCTAGGAGAATCAATGTAATATAGCATGGACATGGCACAGATAGATTATCCATTTTAGGGGAGTACTACATTATATTATTTAGGAGGATTGGTATTACAATAGTATTTAGGGACTCCAGTCATGGACAGTGCTCTTCTGTATTAGGCACTTACAAATACATAACAAAGACAGTCCCTGTCCTGGAAAGCAGACATTCTGCATAAAAAATTATAAACAAGGAGTTGGATATAATAGACAAGGGAACCCAAAGGAACAGTGAGAAACTGGTCTGCATCAGTCCGCATACCTTTATATACTTTTCTCATTATATAGAGAATATTCCATCCCTTGTCTATCTGCCATTTCTTTCCAGGCAAAGAGCTTTTAATGTTAATTTATTATTAATAATAAGTAAATATTAATAAGACAGTAGGGAGAAAAGAAAAAGGGACTATTGCTAAGTAGGTTCTTTGAAACCTACTAAAAGCTGAAAATACTAAAAAAGAGAAAGAAAAGTGTGCTGTGCGTAATATGTGCTGACGTTTTTTTAGATTAAGGTATTATCAACAAGCGTTTGGGACTGTGTGTAACTTCTGAATTCATCACTTGTGAGTGTCGTGGCCATGCATTCATTCTCTCTCTCTCTCTGTGAATATGTGTGTGTATACATCAGTGTGGTTGTAATATTATATATAGCATACTATATATACACACTATATATACACACACACATAATAGAATACTTTATTTAGAATACTATATATACACACACACACACACACACACACATAACATGTGGTTACATAATAGAATTAGTTATTTGTAAACTTTCCGGGTGAATCTGACATGTACATGTATGTACACCATAATATTAGAACCATCAAGATGCCCACATATTCTTTTCGAATTTCTATAAAACAACTATTGCCATTTTAGGTACTGTATAAATAAGAATTATTACTTACTAGCAGATTTACCCAGAGTTGCTCTGGTGTGAAACTCAAGAAATAGTTGGTTGGGTTGTGCTGGGAACTAAACTGAGGAGCAGCATGGTTTATAGGCTTCCCAAAATGTGTACATGTTATTTTTGATGTTATAACATTTTTCTCCACGAGAAAAAATTCTATTACAATGTTTAAAAGAAAAATGCAAAAAAAAATCTATTAGCAGACTGATAAGCAAACAAATCATCCTACCCTTCTGGGCACTGAGAGGTGTGAAGTGACGGGCATGTTTCTTTCACCCAAGGCATTTCTCCTGAAAAGCACAAAAGGTGTCACTGTAGCACCATAGAAAAGTAAATATACAACCTAAAGCAGTTTTTCTTTTCACCCCTTGTGATTTTCTGAAACTTGGCTTAAGCTCAGAAACATTTGTCATATGTTAATTATTCACTAGAGTCTCTTTAGAAGAACAAAAGAACCAATGAGAGAGACAACAAGGACAAAAAAATGAGAAAAGGAAGAACAAAGAACTGATGGGACAGAAAGGGCATTGGATTTATATTTTTATAAGTATTCTCCCTCCCACAGAAAAGCCCTCCCACTAAGGATACTAAAGGCAAGCAGAAACAATAACTATTTTCACAGTGACTTTCATTGGCATAATTAAAGTCAACAATTATACACAGCAGAGCCAACAGCCTCCAAGTTCTGCGGGAAGTCAGCCCTCAGTGCTGTCCAGAGTATGTGGGTCTTAGTGATGCCCAGAACACACAGCCTAACAATCTGGTGTGGCTCTCTGTTGGGGATTTAAAAGAACCAGGGCTCTGGCCATCACTGTGCTACTGCAGCCAGCAGCACTGCCAGGCCCTAAAGCAATTGCTATTTACCCCCTAAGATAACAGTATTGATATATAGAGTCTAGTGTCTTAAGCAATGCTAAAATTAACTTTAAAATAGCCTTATAATGAAATGTTATGAAAAGATACATTAGGGATGGAAGCGACATGTTTTACAGATTCATACAGTTCAGAGAAGAGATTGTTTCTTCTTCCATTTTGGGAAAGCATATTTTGGGTACAACTGCGATATCTTGTGTTTTTAAGAATTTAATTTTACCTCTACTGCATTTCTCTCCAGCAATCACCTTCCTTCTTCCAAACCTAAAGATCAGATGTTTCACCACAAAGCAGCCACTCCCAAAGGGTACGTCTAGACTACATCCCTTTTTCGGTAAAGGGATGTAAATTAGGCACATTGATATTGCAAATGAAGCTGGGATTTAAATATCCCGCATTTCATTTGCATAATGGCAGCTACAGTTTTTTTCGAAATGGGGCTTTTTTGAAAAAACCCAGCAGTTTAGATGGGAATCTTTGGGAAATAAAACCCTTTTCAAAGGATCCAGTACTACTCATTTTTGTTGTTACAGGATCTTTCAAAAAAGGGTTTTATTTTCAAAAGATTCCTGTCTAAACTGCCGGGGGCTGGGGTCAAAAAAGCCCCGTTTTGAAAAAAAGCGGCAGCTGCCATTATGTAAATGAAGTGTAGGATATTTAAATCCCAGCTTCATTTGCAATATCAATGTGCCTAATTTACATCCCTTTACCGAAAAAGGGATGTAGTCTAGACACAGCCAAAGTCCTGCATTTTGCTTCAGCTACCCCAGACTAACACGGCTACATTTCTATCAAAGTGTCTCAGACACTCAAACACCATTACAGCTACAAGAAACCTAATTTTGTTTAAATAAAAGCTGTAAGAACCTTCAGGTAGGCACATAAATGGTTTTATCAGAGTGGCTAATAATTATGAAACCCAAATTGTTTTTTATATGTATTTTATATATATTCACTAGGGTAGTTTTTTGTAAAAATCCCTATAATATAGCAATTAACACGTTTAAATATTAATTTCTGGTTTACCTTTGCAAACGCTTTTGTAGTCTACACAGCAATCTTTTTTCTCCAAGCAGTCTCCAGAACAAGAACAGTGGCTTCCAGTTATCCGTGTCTCACCACAACGGAAATTAGTGCATGTCCATATCTGAGCTGAGAAATTATTAATTTGTTTTTGTGATATAATTCATACCTTCACTTATAGCTTTCACATTACTGTAATAATCTTTGTACAAAGTGTGCCTTGTGAGATATTATTTGAAAACATAATTTGTTGGTCAGCATTCTCCTGGTAAAGTATTTGTGTCAACGTCGTAGATGAAATTATAAGATTCCCCTCAATGGTGTTCTTAACACAGTCCAAACCCCACACCGCTGCCCATACAGAAGTTGGCAAAGAGATCTGTTGTAAACAAAGAAATGTGTCCTCTGTTTAATTTGTATTTAAGCAGCAAACATCCATGCACTGGAAGGGAGGACAAAGGAAGTTGAAACGGGGGGGGGGAATCAGCAGGGAACATTTTTGAAAGAAATTTTGTACCTTGGTTCTCAGATGAAAATGCTTTTCAAGAGAACTATCAAAATCAGGAACAAAAACCCCAAGACTTCTCTCTCCCTGTCTGTCTTCTCCCCCCACCCCCT